ATCTGCATAATTCTTTTATTGAATTAGAATCGGTTAGAGGTCCCTGAACAAGATAATGCAACCGTTATGGATTAAAAATTATTATGTCCAATTCTATGAATAGATATTTTAAGTTCAATGAGCGTTCCGAAGCGTTGAAGCAAAAAATAAACAGAACCATAATTTAAACCCTGGAATTTGACATTTCCTGTCAAAATGGCTTCACAAAGATATCTGAATAAATTGTATGGAGAGAGATTATTCTTTTGTCATAGCATTATCATTATCGTAGAATTACTCTCGTACTATAAAATTATCGATATTATAGACTGGTAGGCTATATTTATTCACATATATACATTTAAACTTAATATATACAACGCAGGTATATTATATACACAGTGGAAACTTCTTGATTATTTGAACTTGATGAGACCAGGGATGATCTGGATAAATGAAATTTCAGATAATCCAGAAACATTTGTTTTTTTGTGGATACATCAAGCATTATATATTTAAAGTTTTTTGAACTATAAATAGTTTAATGAAATTGCTGTATTTGAAAGTAAATTAATTTACTCAAAATCTAACATAATATTATGTATATATGACCTAGCTTTGTGACACTACAGTTGACAGATGACATAATAATTTTCAGTTATATGAAGAGTTTGTTTCTGTGTATTATACTCTGTGGTATGTACAATGCTACATGGTTCTTTATTTATTGAAAACTGTTCCAAATAATTTGGACTTTCAGATAATCAAGTTTTTACTGTATATATATTTTAATTCTAGCTTATTATTTATACAACACATTATTTATTTTCAAACTATAATTTATAACAATACTTTGTTTGAACCATTCAATTATCAGAACAATAAATAATCAACATATTTATAAAGGTTCAAAACTTATTAGTAATTGTGTTCTTTTATTACAGTCCTAAAAATTGCAACAAGTTGCTTAAATTTCTTGGCAACATTTAAAAACTGCAAATGGTGCTATCTGTTATGATATTTTATTTAAAAACTTTTTATATTTTTAACTATTATAAAATGGCAAAAAGCTAATTTTGAGGGTAGGGATGAGTTTTATAAAAGACTGTAAATGCTAATAAAGAGTTAAATTGTCATTAAGTTTGATCCTACTCAAGATATGACATGTGATCCTTCTATCTATCCTTCCCATCAACCTCTAACCACCAAAATTTAATAGCATCCTAATATACAATCCTTCCTGCAAAATTTCAAAAATTTTTGACAAGAAGCACAGGAGTTAAGCTTCAAAGAGGGTGAACAAAATCATGTCCACTCACACTAACAAAGAAAAAACCTCCAAATTTTTTTTTGCATTTCTTAATGGTTCAAAGGTCTAGAATCAAAAAGTGTAAAAATCTTGATCAGTCAAAAAATGACCAATGCCATATTTTCCCTTTGTTATATATAACAAAGAAGGGACAGTAAAACTCAAAACAGTATTTATAGACTTAACTGCATTTAATATAAAAATATATTTGAATACTATGTTAATAAATTTTTGTGTATGGCTATTTCAAATAAGTTACATATAGCATAATATTGAATTTTAAGTTTTTAGTCCATGACTATAACTAACTAAATTTTTAAATTAATTTTAAAATCAAATGTTATTTTATATGATTTGAACCTAAAAACTAACATATGAGAACTGGCACTTAAATGGGAATATTTAAATACATAATAGAAAATGAAAATAATGAACAGATTTAATTATTGTAATAAAAAATCCAGATGGTAAAATGTGAATGTTATGCTTAGGATTATCCAAAAATTAATATTTGAATGATGGAAACAAGCTGTAATTAAAAAGTTTTAGAATAGCATCAAGTTTGTCAAAACTTGATGCTATTCTAAAAACTTTTAATTACAGCATCAAGTTTGTCAAAACTTGATGCTATTCTAAAACTTTTTAATTACAAGCTTTGTGCTTGTAATTAAACTTGATGCTATTCTAAAACTAAGTTTGTCAAAACACATTTAATTTTATCAAAATCCATAATGATATTAATTCATTTTTACTTTCCTGGTTATTATAACAGAGGGAAAATATGGCAATCTGGCAAAAAAATGGCCACTGCCAGATTTTTCAGGCTTAGGACACTTTGAAACATCCAGAAATGCAAAAAATTTGGGGGTAATTTTTGTATGTATTGATATTTTTATATTTGTAGGGGGACACAATGTTGTTCAATCTGTTTAAATTTAATAACTCCTGTGCTTTTTGTCGAAAAGTTCTGAAATTTTTCAAGAAGGTTTGTTTCTTAGGGGATTGATGCTATTAAATTTTGGTGGTTAAAGGTTGAGGAGTGGGGAGATAATGGGGGTTGTGTGTATCTCCAGTAGGGTTGAACTTAATGACAAATTTACTCATTATTAACATTTACAGTTTTTTATAAAATCCATCCCTATCTTCAAAATTAAGCTTTTAGCTGTTTTATAATAGTTAAAAACATAAAATGTTTTTAAATAAAATATGATAACAGATGGCACCACCAAAATTTTAAATGTTGCTGGGAAAGTTGAGCAACTTGTTGCTGTGTTTGATCATATGAATCTTTTATATGATATAATATAGTTACTTCATTAATGACTGATACAGTATAGAAAATTATAAAATACAGTGAAACCTCTATATTTGTCATTAATTAATCTGTTCTTAAGGATCTAACAAATTGGAAAATGACAGATATAGAAACAGTTTTTCCCATAATAAATAACTGATATTCAATTAATTCGTTCCCATCCTAAGAAAAGATACAAGAATAAAAATTTTGTTGTTTGTAAAACTTTATCTTTATTGTACTAAATAAATACAGTATAGTGGTAGAAGGGGAAGAAGAGTAAGGTTATTATTGTTTAGAAGAAGATATATCATCAATTAAAACATTAGGTAATTTCAATTATGATCTTGTCATATTAAATTCTTTGGCTAAGTTGGAAACACTAGAGAGGTTGCGGCCAAAGTTTTCATCTCTAAAACATGAACATCGAACGTTGACTGCCACCATCTTGTAAGCCTAGAAGTTTGACAATGGCATTTGGAATGTCAAGCATTATTCCAATGACGTTCCAAATGCCATTATCAAACTTCTAGGCTTACAAGATGGTGCTCAACATTTAATGTTCACATTTTAAAGATGAAAACTTTGGTTGCAACCTCTCTACTATGTCCATTTTTAGACTTAGCAATAATTTTTTTATCTCTATTGTTGTTCTAACAACTTTTCTTTTTTGCTGTTTTTCTTCGGTGCACTTTGTTGGAGCCATTGGGACTTTAGGTTTTGAAAATAATCAATGTGAGAAACCAAGAACACACACAATGACTGCACAAAGCAATCTGATTAACTACAGCAAGCTGACAGTGTTGCCAACTCAAAATTCAAATTTATAGCTAGACATTTTAATAAAAATATTCAAATCATATTGTTTCCATTAAAATTGCTTGATTTTTTTTTTTTTTTATATCTAGATAACATTATAAAAATAGCTAGGTCATTATAATTTAGGTAATTTGCATAGCTAGATTGTTCATAAATCAACTAAATGTAGCAAAAATTAGGTAAATTGGCAACACTAAGCTAACATGGCTAGCTGATCTACATGGGCGTGCGATTGTAGTGCCACTGCCGGTGTTGTGAATGATGATGAATATGGGGGGGAAGTCATCAAAATGTGACAAATATCGAATATTACGAATATAGAGGTTCCACTGTATCACATTTGTGTAATATTTTAAACATAATAAAGAAATCAAAAAATTTCTGAAGATAAAAGATTTCTAAAGAAATATTTAAAATGTATATATTTTTATATAAAGTATAACTTTAAATACAAATACTTTTATAAATATTTGTTCTTGAAGTACAAGCTTAAATATTATCAAATGATAGGAAAATATTATATTAATGATACTACATGCAATCAGGACTGTGGAGTCGGAGTCAGGAGGAATTTCTGGCCAGAGGAGTTGGAGTCAGGAAAAATGTGTTGACTCCTCCTCCAACATTTTAAATTTAATTTAGTTTTTTTATTTAAATGAAAGAAAATTTATTTTATATTTATTAACTTTTTAAAACGTTTTTGTATTTTGTTATAATTCATTTATTTTAAATAAAAAATGCAACAATTTAATTTATTAAATATGTACAGTTTTCTTTGTAGTATTTATGTTTAGTAGTTAAATTATTTTGACTGAATTGAATCTCAATATTTTTGATTCATTCCTTTATTATTCCCACTCTAAATAAGTATTCTATTTTTCTGAATGAACCAGACTAATTGATCAGAGTATATATTTTTCTTTTCTGAACAAGGGGCTGAAGTAACTAGATTGCACACTTTTTAGTTGGACTAACTTTTCTGGAAAGATGAAATTGAAGTGCAGAAGCTGTAGAATAAAGATATGTAGATGTAGAATTTTATTGCTCCTTTATAGCTTTTTCCTCTCATTAAATATTTGTTAAAAATTAATTTTTTTATACAAATAAATATTAATGTAAGTTAAATATTAAAAATACTAACTATAAAAGTATTTGGGTAAATGTCTGGGGCTCCTTTCAGAGTTCAGAGTAGGATAATCCCCTATGAGTGCCTCTGCTCCCCCATAAAATGACTTGGTATTTAATTTTGCCAGTTGGAGTTGGCCTGATTATCAAGAGTCTGAGTTGGAGTTGAGTGTTTTTTACCGACTCTGCAGCCCTGCATGCAATCCTAAAGATTAAAAAATTAAAGTAGCTTATGTAATACATACAGTTTTGTATAAATTTTGCTTTAAGTTTTTGTTGAAGTTGAATTGTAAAATATATAATTTTAAGTAGCTTCAATAGAAAATTTGGAATAAAGTTTGGTTTTCTTTAATATTAAAATTTTAAAAAAGAAAGTAAAAAGCAAATTTAATAATTACTTCATTAACAACAGATAATAGTGATACAAAACATCTACTGTATGTACTAAAATAAATAAATCTTTTTACATAATAGTTATTTGATGGAGAAGAATTAATAAAATGCATGAAAAAGTTAATATCTATTGATAAAGATTGGGTTCCTAATCATAGTTCCAGTTCATTATACATTCGTCCAACTATGATAGGTATTGAACCATCTTTAGGAGTGGCTTCAGCTAATAAATCCTTATTATATGTTATAACTGGGCCTGTTGGACCATATTTTAGCACAGGAGTTAAACCTGTTTCACTGTTAGCTGATCCTAAATTTATACGTGCATGGCCAGGTGGAATTGGAGACAAGAAAGCAGGATCGTAAGTTGTATTTATTGTCAATAACTTTAATTATTTTAAATATTTTATCTATTTCTTTTTTATTTAATTAACATAAAATTAGTTTTTCAGTGTAATGATTAATCTTTTAATATTGTATTATATTATTATTTTAGAGAGAAGGATTCAAAATTTTTATGAATCTTTTTCTCTAGTTAATGACTGGAATTTTAATGTTTTTACAAATATGATTATATTGATTAAATTGTATTGGCAATAAGTTGTTTAGAAAGATAGATATTTGAAATGGATTATCAATGACTTTTATTTTTATAAATTCTCTTATTTTATATAAAAGTAATGTATAGAATATAAATGTTTATTTTTTTCATGTTTAATTTCATGTCTAATAAACTAATTTCTATTAATTAATTTTTAATATACACGACGAAAAATGTATATATTTATTTTAATGGCACCTAATATATATTTGTAATTTAAGCTATATTGATTTTTATGAATTTAAAAAGCAAACTTTTAAAATCTTAGAAATTATGGACCAACAGTAGCTATTCAAAAACATGCAGAAAAGATGAATTTACAGCAAGTTCTCTGGTTGTTTGGTGATGATCATCAGCTAACAGAAGTTGGAACTATGAATATATTTGTTTATTTTATTAATGATAAAGGAGGTTCGTTTATTAATATTTTTAAAACTTTTAAATAATTGTATTTTATTAATTATAAATCAAAAAGTATTTTTTCTTCTAGAAAAAGAATTAATTACTCCTCCATTAAATGGAATAATACTGCCAGGTGTTACTCGTAAGAGTTTGATTGAACTAGCTGAAGAATGGGTAAGTCTTAATTTCATATAGAAAAATATGTATGCATTTATTTTATATTGTATAATCTAAAAATAATTTTATTTTATATAATATTTTTTCAGAAAGAATTTAAAATTACTGAAAGAGTAATAACAATGAAAGAAGTAATCAAATTATTACAAGAAAATAAGGTAGGATATATTAATGCTTAGTAGAGGACATTGTATCTTTTTAGATCAAGTTTATATTCAAAATCATTACATGAAAATTTATTATGTAGACATATTTATACAACTTCTATGAAGTTGTAGAAAAATTAAAGAAAATTAAAATTATGAATTTTTTATTCCTATCTGAATATAGCTGTAATTTTTAATATGCTGCAGTAGTGACATGTTGACCTGTCATTTTCAGTTGTGCATTATAGCTTCATGGAGCCTAGGTAAATTTGAATTAGGGAGCTTCAGGTATAGTGTTGACTGCAGACATTTTTCTTTGGAGGAATATTTTGGGGCTCCTGTTTGTGGAGGCTTTAAATAATTGCCTTTTTTTGTCCATAGGATAATGTGCCACTGGTCATTTGCATGTAGAAGGCAATACTTGTCAGTCATGGGCAAATAGGGTGACTTAAGTTACTTTGAGCATGGACAGATTGTTGAGGCCTGGAAAATGTCATGAAACAGATGCGTTTATTGAATGTTCTTATACCACAGTGTTCTGGGTGTATCATACTGGATGGATCATGTGCAAACATCCACACAGTAGTTGGTCATATATGATTGATCCCAGAGGTGAGTGTAGCATGTTGAGACTGTTATCTTAACAATGACGTGCCATAGTGGAATGCTTTTTGACAATGACCACCTGACATACCTTGCATTGACTGGGTTCAATAGCCATTGATCTGCAGAAGTGCCTTTGTTGACCATGCAACATTGCAAACAACACCTTGCCTAAGTGAGAGAAAGCTGTTGTTGGACCTTGGACATGTGGAAGAAGGTTGTCTGGAGTGATGAGTCCTGTTTCATATTGAACCACACTAATGGCTGGCTCTGAATCTGGCATAAACAGCATGAAGCTGTATCCCCTGGTTGCACAGTTGGGATTAGACAAGTTGATGGTGGTGGTATCATGGTCTGGGGAGCATTCTTTTGATAAGGTCTAGTGCCATTAGTCATCATCCCACAATTCCTTAATGGTGAACAATACAGGGACCTGTTAGCCTGGAGATATAGGTGCAAATGATCACCTGTGTTTCTTAACAACAGTGCCATTTTCAGCATGATAATGCACCGTGTCACCAGCAAAATTCACTCTGGAATGGTTGGAGGAACATACAGGTTAGGATGAGGGCAAAGGCAGTGTATAGAATTCAAACTCACCAGACTGCAACTCTATTGAACATGTTTGGGATATGCTGGAATTAGGGATTGCAATCCAGCAGTGTTTTTAATCCAGCTGGATTTTTGCTGGATCAACATTGTTCCAGCTGGATCCAGCATGGATGTATTTTTGGTGCAATAAAGTGTTATCTGTCTTTCTATCTATCCAGAAATTTATGGGTTTTTTTTTAAAGAAATAAAACATTTTTTTAAATACTGTACTTAAGAAACTTTTATTATTTAGACTGGTCACTATAAATCAGTAAAACTTCTTACACATTTAGGTAGAAAACTTAACTTTGGTTTGGTTTAACACTTGAAATAGAGATAATTAACTTTAAATGTTTAGTTAGATTATAATTATAATGTAATCCTTAAGTTAAATAATAGCAAAGGTAATTCAACTAATTAATTTAATATTAATATATTATATTATAATAATGTAAGGACGGATAATCAGTGGCTAAGTGGCTATCAGTCTTATCAGTTTTCTTATATAGACTCTAGGCTACATATCATTCTGTAGTTATTTATAAGTAATTTAATTATTAGTGTTAGTAAAGTAGTTAGTAAGTAATTAGTAGTAGTCTAGTAGTTAGCCGATTGAAGACTGGTGATCAACTCATTGAATAGTAACCACTCATCAGTGGAGAATTTAGTGTCTGAGCCAGTGTCTATTAAAGCTTTATCGATGCAAACTTTTACACTGTAGAAACGTTCCAGCATGCTGAGGAAACTGTTCCACCTAGTGCAGCAGTCAAGAATCAAACTCAATTCTTTGTCTTTTGCTTCTTTTACATATTTTTGCAAAAACATATCATCTTTGGTTGGTGCTTTTTTAAAAGTCGTATTGTGTTGTTAAGTGTAGGTCTCAGGGTGGAGAGAGAAGTGGACCATGATGTTGTTTTTTGAGTCAATGAAAGCCACAGTCATGGTGTTGGTGGTTTTCGATCTGTCAGTGGCAACACTATTACAGATTAATTTACTTTCACATGTAGTAATTGCATTACACTATTTATAGTTTATGAAACATTAAATGTACAGTACTTGATATATCCAAAACATAAAAATACATGATTTTCGATGATTTTCTGGAATAACCAAAATTTCATTTATTTGAAAGATCCTTGGTCTCATCAAATTCAGATAATTTTGAGTTTACTGTATATGTATATAATGTATATATCAATGATATAAACTAAAAGTTTAAAATCTTTCTATAGTGTATCTTTGGAGCAGTTATAGAAATGTTATATTTAAACTGCTTGGTTAGCATTATCATTATAATTTTATTTTTAATGAATATTTATTAGATTAATTTCTAATTAGAAAAAGAACATGTCTTTGTATAGTATGTGTGAATATACTATTTGTAATACGAGGGGGACCCAAAAAAAACCGAACTGAGAGCATGCTGCAATTCATAGACGTAGTAGAGAGTTCTCCTGTTACATGGGGTTAGTAGAGACCTTCATGAAACAGCTGTGCAAATGGTGTCAGTTTGTAGGTTTACATTTGAGTGTAGTGTTGTGTTTCTCTTACTGTTATTTTGTTCCGCCTGCAAAGTTCTGGGCGTCCTTCAACATTTCGATATGTTGAAAAAATCTGCCAAAAAAGTGTTAAGACGTCTGCGAGAGGATGTGCAAAGGAAACATCCAGAACTTTGGCGATCAGGTGACTGGTTCATTCATCATGACAATGCTCCTGCACACATGGCCTTACGAGTGGCCCACTATTTGGTTTCTCGGGGATGGCCTGTCATTCCCCACCCTCCATATTCACCAGACCTAGCCCCGTGCAACTTTTTTCTGTTTCCGAGAATGAAGAAAAATCTAAAAGGGAAGCGTTTTGATGATGTGGCGGTGATAAAAACAGCTTCACTAAGGGCACTGGATGATATCAAGGTTGGAGAGGTCCAGAGATGCTTCCAACAGTGGGGAAAAAGACTTGACAAGTGCATCACATCTAATGGAGAGTACTTTGAAGGTGACTGAAGGAATTTTGTAAAAAAGTTAATAAATAAAGTTTTTATACAAAAAATCGGGGGTATTTTGGTCCCCCCCATGTATAATGCTGTCGGACATTTTTTGTTAATTATGTACTTTAAGTACTATGATACGCTTCTTGTATAGTATTCTGAATGGCTTGTGAGCACTAAAATTGGCTTTACTTTACCGCTAGAAAAACACTATTTTATTTTTTGAAAAATAAAATAGTGTTTTTCTAAGTCTAATTTGATGTCCTGTGGTGGTGTAATAAGTCTAGTGGTAAAGTAAAGCCAATTTTATGTGCTTTAAGATTTTATTTACTCTTTTATCAAATTAACTAAATTTCATTTTTTATAAATAAAATTAATTATAATAAAAATGAACATAATTTTTTCCTGTAATTTATAATTAATATTTGTTGTAATGCTGTAAATTTTGATAGATTACTGACTTTTATGATTTTATTTGCTTCTAGTTATTAGAAATATTTGGGGCAGGAACTGCATGTGTTGTTTGTCCTGTCAATCATATCCATTATCTTGGTCAAGAACTACATATTCCCACAATGGAACATGTTGATCCTTTAAATTTAAGGTTTTTGAAAGCTTTGACTGATATACAGGTAAGAAATTTTTAATTTTGTTATTTATTATAAGGAAAGGTATTTAATAATTTATTTTTTCAGTTTGGACGAGTGAAACATGAATGGGCAGTGGAAATTGAATAAATGACAGATTAGTACAGACATTTTTAATATTGGATACTGAGAATTTGATTATTGCAAAGTAAATAAATAAAATATTATTGTTATTTATTTACTTTACTATATATAATTCTGTTATTAATTTGAATATGTATTAAATTTAATATTTTATAATTTATATTTAAAACATTGTAAGTAATTAAATTTTCAAAATTTTGAATTAATATCACATAGTACAAAAAATAAATACTGAAATCATGTAATATAAAGTTAAAGAAAAAATTACAAAACAGCTTGTTCTGTAAATAAAACAAAAATGTTTTGATTGTAGTATATTTCAAGAAAAATTGTGGCCACATTTTGATTCAATATCATCAGACATTGATGATTATGATTAAAACAAAATATTTTTTCCAGAAGAAAATTGCATTTTATTTTCATTCATGTACATTAAATAAATTTTCTGTTGCAACTTAGGATTTAAAAATTTTTAAGATACATTTTCCTTAGGAAAATCAGTTTGTACAGTTTCTTTAGTTTTGTTTATAATTATTTTAAAATGTCAATAAAAATGTAATTGCCATTTGTTTTGGCCAGATTTGTTTGAAATTGTATATTTTATCAATATAAATTTAATATAATGTTAATCTTGAATAAGAATAAATCACAATTTAGCTCTTTGAAGTCACTTGTTTTCGATTTTCTTTAATAGATAAACTAAAATGACTTGTCTTAATTTTTCAAATGCTTTTTAGTGTTTGAAAAATCAAGACTTTTCATATATTCAATTCTGATCAGTGTAGGGTGATCAAATTTTACTTACTGAAATGTAGAGTTGTTAGACATGTAGTAATCAGTTGTTTAATCCTTTTGTGTGTTCATTCTGTTTCTCCTGGACTATGATTATCATTTTGTTACTGTCTCTAGTCTTGGAATGTGTTTGATCAAATCTTGTGTCTTGTTTTAACTCTCGTTTCCTTTTTTCCATAAGCCAGCTATTGTGCACATGTTTGCAGAGAAGTTTTGTTTGAGTTAGTCAAATCCAAAAATGTTGAGTAAATTAGTATCAGGAGACTCATTAGCAATATCTTTGTTTTTCACAATTTATGTTAATTTTATTTCTCATCCCTTGGAGATTTGGTTGAATGAAGTTGTGTTTATGGAGCATGTGAAACATAACTTTGCCCATCTTATGAGGATATAACTGTGGGAGATACTTTCCAAAGAGCAACTTAAAGACAATGTCATGATTATGGAGTAGTTCTCTGTTAATATTTGTCTTATGAAGTCCTTTGATGAGTGATAAGATACTTCATTCTCTGATTATACCAACTCCTGTAAAGCCCATAGGTTAACCTTACGTCACAGTATTTCAACCAATTTTTGAATGGTTGTTTTCCAGATTTAATGTAACAAATTTTCCTTTTACCATTACAATAATACAGATACAGCCAACATAAGGATTTATTGCCACTTATCACTTTACTGCAGATTTTTATAAATTTTTGCAGGTTTTCTGTATGGGGGGAAAAAAGTAAATGAGACTTGGAAAGAGATTCGTCAATATTTGATTGAACCAAGATTTCAAGATAGGAAACAATGATGCAGAATGATAAAGTTTAGGGAAACAAATTTGACATACAAACAGACAACACATCAATTATTGCATGTTTAATAACTTTACATTTTGATAAATAAAATATGATCATCATTAGTTCATTTTTGTATATATGTTAGGCTCAAAGCCCGAAATCACTCATTGAGTGAAAAAAACGACCACAACGCATTGTGGTTAACTCAAAACGATCACAAAGCGAAATTCGCGTCATGGCTTTTATGATATTTGACCACTACGTGTTGTGGTGATTAAGAAAAGCCATAACGCATTCTGAACGTTAGCTGATGCAACCACGATACAGGATCATATGACGCACAGTGATTTGTAACTTCAAAATATGGATTAAAGGCTCAAAAAATTTTTATTTACAATTTTTAATGCCGAACAACATTAGTTCTACAAGTTTTCCTAGAAATTTAATTTTCCTACTTAAAAAAAAAATTTCAAAGAAATAAAATATATGGAGAAAAATACATATTTGTTTCTTTTGTTTTGCTAAAAAGTTCTGAAGATTTAATTACATATACTTGTAGGTGCTTGATATACTATACACGATAAAATAAAAATCAGCTGCTAAAGTTAAAAACCATTGTGCGACGGATTTATTATAGTTAAAAGCCACCACACATTCTGGATGTTACTAATAATGAGCGATGATAACAAAATAAAACTTTCTTTTTCATTATGATTTATTTATCTTCAATCGTTTTATATATGCAGGTAACAAAATTATTCACCATATACAGAAATTTAACTTGGTTACTTTACAACATTTAATTATTCATGCATTTTAGGTCTTTGAGCGACATTTGCATTTTTATCAATACAGTATCTTTTACAGTGGCACATTATATACCCTTGCTTACTTCCAGATGTTAAAATGGATGCTGAGCGAAGTGTTAATAAAGTTGAGGGTGCATTCTGAATGTTAATAAAGTTACTATAAAAATTGTAAATTCATTACGAGCATAAAGTCGATCAAGAAGACTTTCCTTGTTTCCTAACTGATAGAGACCTGATGGATTAATGCTCATAATAACAGTTAAAACATTTCTGGGAGCTGCACGTCCCCTATCAACATTAGGCACCCTAATTAAAACAATCGAACCAATTTCAACTGCAGAAAATTACTCTAAATTGGGAAACTCTCCGAGCTCAAGCTCAAATAAAAAAAATAAGACAAACGATTCTATTACTCAGATCCCTGTACTATTGTGAAATAATAATCAGAACAATTCTTACTGTTTTTGAAAATTTTAATGACTAAAATGTCTTAGGATTTTTAGGCTTTATCAGAGGTATTAATTTACATCTGATATGGAGAGTGCCAATGGCTCAATGGCATGAAAGTTAAGAATAGCGAAATCCTACTCGGGTGTAACATACAGTAATACCTCGGTTTTCGTTTGACTTCAGTTATCGTCGGTTACGGATTTCTCCGATTGTTTTCAGACGGATTATTAACGAAAACCGAAGTATCACTGTACAGTGTACACCCATGAACCTAGCATCAATCTGCATTATTTTGTTAGTTTCTGTTGTCCCATCCTAAAACCCTTCAGTTATAGGGAAAAACAGAATGGTTTTAGGTTAAAACTTTTTCCAGCGAAACTTGTGGAGCGATGAGTAATAGCATCAGAACACAGGGTAGTTTTACTCTATATTTACCCTAATTATAAGACTACCCGAAACATTACTCTGAGAAATTGAAATTATTCTAGAAAAGGGTAATTACCCTAGAAACGGCAGCACTGGTCAAGAATGAACACAATACAAACTCCATAAGTGTTTGCAATACGCCTGTTGACAAGTTACAACCTATCCTTCGTATCGTGGTTGCATCAGCTAACGTTCAGAAGGCGTTATGGCTTTTCTTAATTATCACAACGCGTAGTGGTCAAATATCATGAAAGCCACGATGCAAATTTCGTTTTGTGATCGTTTTGAGTTAACCACAATGCGTTGTGGTCGTTTTTTTCACTCAATGAGCAATTTCGGTCTTCAAGCCTAACTTATATATATATACACAAATTTGAGAAACCATAGTGTTATGGAAATTGCATAGGCTTTTATATGCAAAAAAGTTTATAATGGAAATGGAACATCACTTTTAAATGATAGAAATAAGCCTACTTTTTGTATATTTGGAATTTACAAATATCTAAAGGCCCATCTACTTATGAATTAAGTGCAATTTGGCTCAGCAATGGTAAAGTTTGGACGCCACTGCCTTATTTGAATGTAATGGACAAAAAGAAGTTATATATTTTATCATAAAGGATACTAAGAAAAAGATATGAATAATAGTAATTTTAAAGTTTAATATTAAATGGTTTTTAAAGTAACATTAATACTTTTTTCCATTTATCTAAAGCCTAATTATACAATCATAGTTAATGTGTGAAAAATTATGAATAGAGGACAAATTGTTCTGAGGAGGAGGACATTACAGTTGTGTTTAAATGGGCTTCAAGTTTTTTTTATCTGAAGCCTATTCTAACACTTACTACTAAAGCAATTTTTATTACAAAAAGCTAATTCTTATATTTTAAGAGTAATTCTTAGATGTTTTTCAAAAATAGAGGGAATAGTTTTTTAAATTAAAATGCAGGACATGCATTATGCAAAGGAGACATATCTTCCTGTTTGGATACTATCTGGCCATGGTGTGACGAGAATGGACTAGGCTAGTCCCCTAAATTCTTTGAAATACCATCTAAGTATTATTTCTCATTTGTATTTGAAACCTTTAACTTGAAGAATGTGTACAAGCCAACCTTAACACCCTTCAGCCTTTTTTAGTGACTGGTCCACAGGACTAGCTTGCAGGCATGTGTTCCTGTTATACTGTTGTTTTGTGCACGTCAAGGTGGTTCTGTAACAAGAGATTTTTAGTTTCCTGTGCTTATTAAAAACAGCATTACTTGTTTGCATTAGTTGTTATGTATTTCTATTATCACAAAACACTTAAAAGTTTACATCTAAAGTATGAATCTATTTAAATGACGATATATGTGACGAAATTGAATTCAACATGAAAGGGGACTCATGTTTCTGCGAGGGAGAAGGTCCCTCGCAGCGAAACATAACGCAGTTTGAATCTGTGAATGATGCAGCTGATCTAGGTGAATCATCACAGCAGAGTGAAGACAATTAACGATTTCCGTGCTGTATTCTGGATCGCCTGCTTGAAACGTCGTTTGGAGCCTTAAGTTTTCAGGAAAAACAGGATATAATAGGAAAAGGTAAGTTACATCCGATGTAAATATTACCACAAAAATGCACTACATTTTAAGTTTGAATGTTATAATTCATCAAAATGGTTGACTGCTTGTAAATCAAAGAACAAATGATTTTGTTGGCCTTGTGTTCTTTTGAAACAAACGAGTGTCGAATATGACTGATTTCTGTGACAGTTACTTTCACAAAGCAAAAATTCTCCACGAATAGACAATCGCATTTGGTTGCGACTACAAAATTGAAAACATTCGGTATGGCAAGGATAGATTTTCTATTAAATAATCAATGCAAAGTAAATGTTTCG